TGTTTTTATCCTGGAATGTAAGGGACCTGGGTGATAAAACAAAATGGGGTGCTGTCTTCCATGTGTTTAAACATTTAAAACCGTCTGTAGTATGTTTGCAGGAAACCCATTTGAACTCTGACACTGTCGGTACCCTCCGCTCTTGTTTATTTCCCATACAATGTCATTCATTCAACTCCACGTTTTCTGGAGGTGTGTGTATCCTCATCTCTAACTCTGTTCAATTTGTTCATGTGCTGGAGTGGATTGATGCGGAGGGCAGGTATATTTTCCTGCTGTGTACTTTGAATGGGTTTCAAAGTACACAGCAGGTCATTAAATGCCTAGCTCAATTTATGGCCAATCATCCTGATGTTCCCCTAATGGCATTGGGTGATTATAACAATTCCTTACTCCCTAGTTTGGATAGATTGCCCTTAGGCAGTAGGGGCAGACAATTATCCTCCCAGCCTACCCCATAATTAATTTTTTGGTGGAACTGTGCCTCCGGGATGTGTGGCAGATGAAGTATCCAAAAGCAAAATGTTATTCATGTTTCTCTGCTATTCATGATGGGCTTTGACGCATAGATTTGGGCCTTGGGAGCTTGATTATCCTGCCATATGTGTTTGATGCTGCGTATGAACCCAGGACTCTGTCTGACCATGCCCCTTTCTGGGTCAAGCTACAGGTGTGTTATACCCGCTCTCGTCTGCTGTGGAAGGTGAACCCATTTTGGTTGACGCTGTTTCCAGAGTCTGAGTTGATTCCAGAGGAGTTGTCAAACTTTTTGCAGCGGAATGAAGGCCTGTACCAGCCAGGAATGGTTTGGTATGCACTGAAGGCCTTCCTGAGGGGCTTGATTATCCGGGAGATTTCAGAGGATAAACGTAGATCAAGGGAGTGGGAGGAGAAGGTATGGTTAGATGTTCAGAGGATCCAAAACCCAAGCCCCTGTAACCACACCTCCTGGAAAGAGGCCCAAGCCCTTTATAAATCGGTGCTTACTCAAGTGGCTGATAAGTGATATTTTTTGCAACAAAAATATTTAGAGGAGGGGGAAAGTACAAGGCACCTTCTTGCTCTCGTGGCAAAGTCACAACAAGGGGTGTCCACTATAGACAAGATTGAGGATGCTGATGGAGTGATTTGCACAAGTCATGCGGAAATCCTGAGAGTTTTTCATCACTTTTACAACAATCTGTATGCTTCTAAAACTATAGCCACCCATTCTGAGCTTTTGCAATGTCTAGACACTTGCTCTTTTCCAGTTTTATAGGAGACTGACCAGAGAGAACTAGAGATGCCAATTGCTGTTGAGGAGCTATCTAAAGCTTTGGCAGGCACCCCCAGTAATAAATCTCCAGGTTCAGATGGATTGTCATTCGAAATTTATAATAAATACAGTGAACAACTTCTCCTGGCATTGCTCAATGCCCTGAATGCCGCCATGGATGGAAATGGTTTGCCCCCTCCATGAATGAAGCTGTTATTATAGTACTATTGAAGCCTGAAAAATATCAATTAAAATCTGACTCCTAGCGACCTATTTCCCTCCTGGACGCTAAATTGTTGGCCCACGTTCTAGCTATTAGACTGGCGCGGATTATTGGTAATATCATACATAAAGATCAGTCGGGGTTTATTCCCTCTAGAGCGATGACTAATAATATTCGCAGACTTTTTTTGAATTTGCAAATTCCGATGGACAATCCTGGGAGGAGGACGATTTTATCTTTGGATGCTGCCAAGGCATTTGATAGTGTGGAATGGCCTTATCTATGGGAAGTATTGTCTAGATTTGGCTTTGGTTCCAAGTTCAATAGTTGGGTGCATCTTCTCTGAGCCTAGACTTTTATTTCCTGGCAGCCCAATTGCAGCAACTGGTTAGCTGGGATTTGCCTGATTTATACTGATCCCATTATAAGTTTGATTTTCCTCTCTAATTCCACCATTTTGGCTCTTTTCTCATCTTGAGATGGCTCTACCGGCCCTTCCATCTATGGCTCCAACCGTGGACCTCTTCAGGCGTGTCTAGAGTATGGTAATAGCCTCCTTTTAATATTAGCATTCTTCCTGTACTCCCTTGTGGAACAATCCACAATATATAGAACTGGATAAACTGGAGGGTTTTCACGACTGGAGGGATCGTGGCCTGAAATTCATATCTCAGCTGTATTCGGGAGTAAACCTAAAGTCCTTTTCATAACTGCAAATGGAATTTTACATTTACACATAAGCATTTTTATCGATATCTTCAGCTACGCCATACAATACAGGCTCAGTCTTCGCTCTCTAATCTCACATTGACAGACTCAGTTTTTCTTAAGGATGTAACTCAGGCAATCTATAAGAAGGGCACGATTTCTCATGTATATTCTCAGCTGTTGTCCACAGTACAGGATCAGGCTAGTCTCTGGGGTAGGGTGCAGTGGCCCCGAGATGTTGGAGAGTTTGCTGGAGATGTCTGGGATGCTGCCCTGGAATCTGTTCTGGTGATTTCTCTTTCTCCCTCTCATAAATTGTCTCAATTGTTTATTCTCCATCGAGCGTATAGGACCCCTGTGCAACTGTATCGCTGGGGCAACGCGATTCACCTGACTGTCCGAAGTGTAGGGTCCAACAGGGCGATTTTCAATCATATGCTTTGGTGCTGCCCCAAGTTACATAGATATTGGAGTGAGGCTCTCCAGTTTATCTTTCTAGTATGGCAATATACTGTTCCCCAGGATCCCTTGCAATGTTTGCTGGGGGCACTGGACCGAGAACTGCTCCAACCAGGAGTGTATATTATGATATCTAGACTTATATCTGGCTAGGAAGTTAATAGCAAGATAATGGTTATCGTTGGCTCCGCCGACTAGTAAGCAATGGATAGATTGTTAATTCATTACTCCCGCTGGAAAAACCCACGTACCAACATCGCAATGCTTATCATAAGTTCCAGCAGGTATGGCAGGGTTGGCTGGATGCACCCGGGCTCGCCCCTGCTCAGTTGATAGTGGACCGACATTTGCAGGTGTGACATTTTATATCAGGTGTGTGGCTCCACTCCTCCGCTTAGGGGAGATCATGTGCATCCCCCATTTATTTCTGATGAGATGTTTCAGGTGAACAAGATGTTGTTGGTCTATTATGGGATCTGCTTATACACAGTGTTCTATTTATGTGTAATCCTGTTGATGCAGTAATGTCATTGGGGATTCTGTAAGTACTGTTCCGTTTTCTTTATTATCTTGACAATAAAAGTTGTTTGGATTTAAAAAAAAAAGATTAGACTTGGACTGATTTAGAGGAGCAAATGTTCTTGCCTTCCACAGTAACTTGAACAAGTACTGTTTATAACATACTTATTTTCTTTTTTTGTTACCTTCCTGTCTCCCTTTTGCAGGATCATTTCAATTGGTGGAGTGGGTTTTTTTTCGCCTGAAGATGTTTGACTTCTGGGAGCTGCGATGCCACTTTTTCTGGCATTTTCTCAGTCTGTCCTTTTTTTTTTTGCTTTGTTTTGTTTTTGTTCTTTCTTTTTTTGTCTTTTTACACATTTTTAAAATTTTTTTAAAATTAGATATGATTTTATTTTATTGCATTTCGTTTTGTGTTTTTTTTTGTTTTTCTTTCTCTATGGTCTTTTGGCCATTATTATTTTTATTCTATTCTGTGTTTACTTTCATTTTTATTAATATTTTTAGCATTTTGGTATTTATATTTGTGTTTTGGCAGCTCTGAATGGCCTCTTTTACATTTTACATTGTACATACAGAATGAGGTGAGTGGCCTCTGTGTCATGTTTGTCTTCTCCTAATTCATGTCGGGGGGGTTAAGGCACATGCTGTCCAACGTGATGACATCATTTGAAATTGACTTCTGAGCATGCATGGTGTCCATCTCGACCGCCATCTTGGTGACAGTGTTCTTCGCTGCCTCCTCTTCTGTTTGCGGTCCATATGGAGGCCTGGTGCCTCCTTCACATGACGCTAGGAGTCAAGTGTCTGCCCGCGGGGCCTTTATAAGGGGGAATCACCTTGGGAGGCTCTGCATACACAAGTTTCGTAGGAAGTACTGTTCGCCACATGGATATCTTTTCTCTTATGGCTGTCTGCAACAGGTAATGAGATGGCTGTTCGGTTCCTACTTTGCTTATCTGCTCATCTTGTATCTTGCCTTTCACTGATCTTTTTGTAATTTTTGGGCATCCTCTTTGTGAGTATCCAGATATTTTATGTAATCTGTTCTCCCCCCTCCTTTTTCCCACATGGGGCATGTTTTGACACTGTGGTGGTGGTCAATTAGATAGGACCTGTCATTTTGGTTAATTTTTTTGATTCCTGTAATATTCTAGAGGCTTTATATTGGTATGTGAGTCTCAAGGCAGGGATTGGGGAATATTTTTTTCCAATTACAAATTACAGTGTTTATGAATATGCATTAATTATATATTTATTTATCCTTAATGACATGGTCTTTATACAGATATGTATGTGGATTTAATTATCTTCTGAAGAAGAAAAGTGTCGATATTATTAGTATTTGATTGTTGTGAAAAATCTTGTCTTCATGTGTAACAGACATCAGTGTTTACATATTTCATCTTTCTATTGCATGGCTATATGTATTTTGCACCTGACTTTTAGTCTTTATCCACTTGCCTACTGGGCACTTACACCCCCTTCCTGCCCAGGCCAATTTTCAGCTTTCAGCGCTGTCGCACTTTAAATGACAATTGCGCGGTCATGCAACACTGTACCCATATGAAATTGTTATCATTTTTCTGAGACAGAGCATTCTTTTGGTGGTATATAATCACCTCCTGGGTTTTTTATTTTTTTGCTAAACAAACCAAAAACAACTGGAAATTTTGAGTGAAAATTTTTTTTCATCGTTTTTGTTATGAAATTTTGTAAATAAGTGATTTTTCTCCTTCACTGATGTGTGCTAATGAGGCTGCAGTGATGGGCACTGATAGGTGGCACGGATGGGCACTGTTGAGGAGGCACTGGTAGGTGGCACTGATGGGCAGCGCTGACTGACACTGTTAGGTGGCACTGATAGGTGGCACTGACTGGCATTGATAGGTGGCACTGAATGGCACTGATAGGTGACACTGAAAGGCAGCTCAGACGGGCACTGATATGTGGCATTGATGTGCACTGGTAGGCACTGATATGTGGCACTGACAGGTGGCATTGATGAGCACTGACAGCTGGCATTGATGGACACTGACAGGTGGCACTGCTGGAACTACACTGATCATCAGTGAACTGATGATCATTGTACATGTCCCCTCTGAGGGATGCCGATTACCGGCTCTCGACTCCTCACGAGCTGTCAGCGTGACAGCTCGTGATAAGAGAAATGCCAATAATCGGCATTTCCCTATTTACATGCAATCAGCTGTGATTGGACACAGCTGATCACATGACCGAGCTGACATCTTCAGCTCTTTCCATTGGTCGGTGATCCGCTGTGTCCGAGGGACACAGCGCACCACAGATTGCCGTGCTGCGCACCCCCGGAGCCGAGCATGCTCGGTTAGAGTGGGAGGACATCATATGACATCCTCCCAGAATGATAGAACGGCCTTGCGCCCATCATTACCTTATATGGCGGGCGGGAGGCGGTTATAAGTCATAAAAGGTGTAATATTCTTGTATAATGTGGTACAATTTTTTGGATGCAACTCAAGAGTTCCATGGACATCTTCGGTTTCCAGTATTCTCATATACTTTTGAAAACATTCTTACTTTTACAGCATTTCTTCATGCCTGCCTAAAACCTTTAGATAGTACTGTATGTGTAGCCAGGTGCCAGCTACAATAGTATGAATGCAGTGGACATTAACTTTATTACTGCAGACTGTTCCAGTTCTCCTTCTAGTACTGCACTCTTGCCACTTTTGCTATACCCACTACTTGCTTGCTGACTGATTAATCTCTTTCTCTTCCCCCGAGGATATTCTCTTCAACATTACTGAGCTCCAACGTGCTGGAGGAGATTGTATTCAGGCCTGATACTTGGACTAACCTTATCCCTTTATCTGCATGGTGTGCGCTGGGCCCAAATAGAGCTTAACCCTTCACCATAGGATTAGGATTCTCTGCAGTCAAGCCCCTCTCTAGTGGTAATTCCCCCCCTCTCCACGAGGGAGTCCTTGGGGTACATTCAACTATTTGGTATCTACCATTCCCTGCATATTCAAGTTTTATTGTTCGTTACTGTTTGCTTTTGCTATCTTAAAGTACCTAACTGCCTGGTGTTCCGTCCAACCAGCCTTGGATGCTCTCCCAGCGTTTGGATGGCTGACACCTTTAAATCCATTGTTTGCTTTGGTAAAAACAGACATTTGTTGTTGCATTCAACCCACATTGTGTTTGTGGTTCATTTAAAGGGGCATACATCATATCAGAATCTAGAGTGTCAAAAGGGCTGGGAAATTCCCAGGGTCAGGATAGCACAAGAGGACAAGCAATATCCAGCAGCCCTTACTGGAGTAGCACTACATCTTGGGGCTCATCCGGATTGTCCTCTGCTGCTAGCCCCAGAAACTAAACCATAAGCCAGTAAGTGAGAACGTCATGGACTCGGCTGCTGCAGCAGTATGGGGCCAAGAGCAAGGGGCCCACATAGGACTGTGCACAGTAATCAAGGTCCCAGGGAGTGAATGGAGTGAGAAACAACTTTGACAGTCGGTAAGGTACCAGAACAGAGCACATACATTCTGGACACAAGGGTAGAGCTTACTCTGGACTGTACTTGATATGTGGCCGGGTGACCAGGATGTCCCTTGTGGCCTCCTTGTTAGGGGCCGGACTTCTGTGGTTGGGTACGCTGGTGTCATCACTGATGGCCGGACGCGGTGACATCATGCATCATGATGCTGACGTGCCGCACCTGGGGCGCTATATAGGCTTAGGTTCATTAGCTGCCCAGTGTCATTCTTTCAGGGCAGTTAAGCCCTGCAGGCTACTAGAATTACTAGCCTTGCGGCGTAAACTCTTTCTTGTGCCCTCTGGGGCTGTGGTCGTTTCCTCGCTGGATAAAACTGAGTTTTTTGGTAAGATGCCTTTTTGAATTCATTGGGATGAGTTAATATACACTGAGAGACACATACGATAAACAGTCTTTATTTATATTTACATCTTTAGACCTGCCTTCTGGTGAAAGGTTGGGCCTACTTTTTTGATACCCCCAAACAATTGAGGGGCACGCCCAGGTGTATTATCCTGTTGCATTATTGTGACTGGGAGTCATCTTCTCCTAGCTGGTACTGTGATGGCTATTTTGGCCTATAATAATTTTCACCTTCCTGGGCCTACAATAATTTTTAATAATATTGTGAACTTCTGCTAGGGGTCTCAATTCCTGTAACTTATCTACCATCTGTTGTATCACCTCAACACCCCCCCCCCCCCCGTAAAGGTTTCCTGTAGAAGTTTATGACAGTAGGGAAATCCTGCTGAATAACCCTGGATAAGTCCTGGAGTCGTCATTTCTAACACCTCCTAGGGAGTTTCCTGTGGGAACTCCTTTCAAAGGAGGTATGCTTCCCTGGACATTGACCTATCCTAAATTCCATATGATGAACTACAGTTGGCCAATGTTTTTTCACAAATCACAGAGCCCCCCTTTGAACAGAAATGGCAAAATACTGAAACCTATTGAAGGGTGTGTCTTTACTTGGAATGTAGGGGGAAGGGGTATAGAGGTATGGCATTCTGTCTCTGTGTTTTCTTCCGGTGCCCAGACCTCAGAACATCAGGATATCTGTAATGTATCACCATTGCTCTGTCTCTTTCCTGTAACTATTTCTTTCCTGTAGTCTTTGTATTGGTAACAGTCTGTATATGCATAGTAATATTACTACTTTTATACCGGCTACATTATATTTTGTTGTATTTGATTAACAGCAAGCTTCTTTTTCTGTGTAAATAAATTAGATCTTTATTTTTTGCACAGTTGTTATCCTTTGATATTATTGGTAATAGCCACATGAGGATTGGCTAAATTCATGAATAGACGAAAGGTTGTAATCACTTATTACATTTATAATCTTAGATAGAACCAAGTAAATAAGTGTGGTAGCAAAACCGCCAAAACAGTACATCATTTTAGTTGGTGATATTATATAAGTGAATAATTGGGGGGGGGGGTTGTTATCCGTTCTACATAGATGTCTTTTCAACTTTTTCAGCTTTTGAATATCTGAGGGTATTGTGATACAATAGAAATATAAATGCAGCGCTACAAATTAGAATAATTGAGAAAGTGACATATGCATATAAGGCGCACGTGAATGCGCTAGGTAAGTGTAACAAGAAATGTCGTCAACTAAGTAACGAGAAAAACTGTGAAATGGATGAGTCAATCAGGCAAATATATACATTAGTGAACTATATATCTAGTGATCACTGTAAAAGACATTGTAATGAAATAGATGACAATCCAAGATATCCTTATAAATATGTAGTCCAATAAAGGTGGTGAGTCAAACTTCTGTGCTCGTGACTTGTGATCTAAAATGAAGTGTGCTTGCACTCACCAGAAGCGCAATATTAATGTGTATGTAATTATATCCGGGAAGAACACTGGTGGTCATCAGGGTTCTGGTCAGGGACAGGGGGCTCCACTGGTACACACACACACAATTAAGGCACTCCAGACCTCACAAACCGTACCCTTTCAGCATACAGGGACAGCTCCTTCTATGCGTCTCCACCAGGAAAACTGGTTGCCAAACTGGTACTACTCCACCTTAAATGGCTCAGATACAAGCCACCAGACAAAGGTACTTTGATAGTGTAGTAGTTTAATGTAAATTGGCACAGTTTCCAGGTAAGTATAAATAAACAGCTTTACAGAGCAGTGATGATGGTAACAGCTTCAAAGATGGCCGCTGGACCAACATGCAGCCTCGGCGGCGTGCCGTCCGCGCGGCAAGGCTCCTAACGTGTTTCGCGTGAAAGCACGTCAAAAGGATGGCCTTGCCGCCGATGTCATATGCTATTTATAGCTCCCGTGCGCATGCGCGAAACGGGCGCCATTTTAAAGTAGACCGGCAAGTTAGCCGAATGTACACAGGCACTGAGGTTGTTAGCTTGGTTGTAATATCAAGTAGAAATAGCCCCAAAGGCAACAGAAATGAATACGGGACTAAGATCATGATTGTATAAAAGATACATTACGACATAAAGTTTGATATGGGGCCAAATGAATAATATAATGTTATGGCCGCCATTTTGGTGTGGATCAGACTACAAATACTACATGTGCCCCAAAATAGACTAAAATAGAAGATATATTGTTATAAAGTGCATAATATTTAAAACAATGCCTGGTTTGCCAAAATTAAGAAGAAAATATAATAAAAAACTTTATTAAAAAAATTTAAAAGAATAAAAGAATTCGTAATAATAAAAAACTTTATATTGTTATTGGAATTATCAATACTGATATAAATATTGATTAAAATTACAAGCAGAAGGGCAGAAAAATGCCAGTATCATTAAGGCCCTAAAATAAAAAATTATAAAAATATATAAAAATGGAGCATGAACTTAAAAATAAATATTAACGGGGGTCTCTATATTATTCGGTGACTTGCCGTATTACATAATAAAAGATAATAAATAATACCATTAGTAGCACAATAAATGAACAATAATCAATAAAAGTGGAAATGGTAAACAATAAAAATAGGACTCTGTCATAAACCGCATAAAAGGTACCTAGGCTAAATAAAGTAAAATAAAATAAAGAAATCCTCATGGGTATTAGTATGCTGCATAAAGCTTATTTACAGATAAAAGGTGTTGCGATGGGAGCCAAGTTCGCTCTCAGCCTGGCTAATCTTTTTAATTTTGGCCAGGTGGGAGGAGGACATGATTTATTCTCGTGACTGGCCAGAATAAATTTTTTACAAGTGCTATATCGATGATGTCCTCCTCCTTTGGCAGGGTAAAGAGGATACCTTAACTAATTGTTTTAGGACTCAATAATAATGGCCTCGACATCAAACTTACGTATACATATAGTACAAAGGAGCTAAACTTTCTGGATGTTACGCTCATTAATGATAAAGGACACATCATTTCTGAGGCTTTCTTTAAAAACACTGACAGAAATAGTTATATTTATACAGATAGCTGCCACCACCCCTCTTGGCTTGAGAATATCCCAAAGGGTCAATTCATGAGGGTATTGTTATTATTATTTTTATTATACAGTATTTATATAGCGCCAAAAAGTTTGCTCAGTGCTGTACATTATAGTGGGGGACAGAACATGAGACAATACAGTAATAAAACAATACACGAGGGGTTCGAGGGCCCTGCTCTTTCGAGCTTACAAGCTAGAAGGGAGGGGAAAGTGGTACAGGAGGAAGTGGCTGTGGGGGATGGAGTGGTAGGTGGAGTGGAGGAGATCGGCTGTTAGTTGAGGGTGGGGTAGGCTTCCCTGAAGAGATGGGTTTTCAGGGTGCGCCTAAAGGTGAGGAGGGTAGGTGACAGTCTGATGGATTGGGGTAGTGAGTTCCAGAGGATGGGAAAGTCCT